CCATTCAGCTCTTCTGGATGGAACTAATATTAGTACTGTTCACATTCTGTAGATCAAACAGGATTACATTGTTTATGACTTGTACAATGTACTGTTCAATGTGCCAAATGTTTGATCATGTTGTTACAATTTTACATGAAGAAAAGTTGAATGGCTTCCCGTGCAACAGGACACCAAAATGTCCCCAAGTTGGACCCCTAATTTATAGGATCACCCATATATGCATGTGTACATACATGTACATGCATTTGCTCACCATGTACAGAATAGTTAGAATAGCAACATTTGAATAACCATCACAGCAGTTCCCTCTTTTTAGTGCTAATTCACTCTGGGCTACTTGTGCATTTATATTTAAGGGTAATTCCAGAAATTTGGGGTCCAAACGTGGGTCACTTTTGTGTTCCTGTTTCATCTGACCTTTGTTATTGGACATGGAAATATCACCGGAATTGATTTCAAACTGTTACTATTTGTTTGGCCGGTAATTTGCATTCATATACCACTCTTGGAAATTAGAAAATGTGCTCAGAACTTAAAAAACCATATGTCCGANCCCTGGGGGGGGGGGGGGAGCAGGGAAGGGAAGGGAAGAGTGCACTTTGTCTCTGTAAGAAGATGACTCTGTGTACTGCGGCAGGCAGAAAGAAGTAGCCATCTTACTCACATACAGGTGCGTGTACATGCGCTCTATGTGTCTAGAACATTGATTTAACTGGTCTAACAACTGCCAAGCCACATTTGTAAAAAGGAATCTCTGATGGTGCTTGTCATGTGAGTTTTATAATTTCTTATTTCACCTGGGTAGCCTATTCAGTGGAATCCACTGGTCTCCCACGGGTCCCAGTATAAAAAAAGACAATAAACATTACAGGAAAGCAATCGACATTCACATACATGTAAGGTCACACAAATTTAAAAAGTTTTCAAGCCTTAGCCAAAAAGGACCCTCACAGAGCTGAATATTAAAGTGGGCTGTCACACAAATATGACATGTATGTATTTTGTTTCATGAATGACCACGGTTGTTTCTACATGTATGTATATGTACATACAAACTCACTGTGATGCTGGAGCTGTTAACGGTACATGGACATGCACAACTGTGCACTAAATTAAGGGTCCAAAGTTTGACAAAGGGTGCAGACACCTACCAATAGATGCAGCAAAACTGTGAATGCAATGCGGTCCATTCACAATATTGCGCCTCCAAGAGTCTGCAACGCGTTGGTCAATCACAGTGCGCGAAATCTGTCGACCCTTTCCGAACGCGCATTGGTCGACAGATTTCCCATACTATGATTGGTCAACGCGCTGCAGACTCGTGGAGGCGGACTATTGTGGATAGCCCACATTTAAGGGGAGCTGAACAAACACCCGTTAACCACAATCCCCGTTATCTGTCTTAAAGTACAGCCCATGCACAGGTAACACGAAACATGATTTTCAGTTTAAATTTGAGACTTTCCTTCGGCTTGTGCCAAAGTGGCCCGTGCGTGCCACTTGTTACCACAGAGACAGGAATGAGACACTGTACATGTACTTACACTGCGCCAGGCATGGCGCCAACGACAGGGCCAACACTCCTAATATGCACACTATCCGCCCCGGCAGGCCGTCTTTGTGAACATGCCGCACCTTCATGTTCGCCATCACGGTGAGATTATTTGCAACAAAAAAATAAAACCTCCGGTCTGAAACAGGAACAGAGAAACTGAAATTAATAAATTGTGCGATTTTTTTCAGCCCGTATTTCCTTCTCTGTTATGTCTGTGGCTGCACTGGTTTGCTGCTCAACATCTGTGCACTTCTCTTTCCTGTTCCTAATGTTTTTAACTGCAACCTCACACGCCATGTCTGAATGTTAGTTTCATCATGAGCTAATCAAAGTTTCATCACGCAGGACTTGATTTCTTATTTCAACAAAAACATGGCAAGTGGGCACATTTTCATTTCTTTTTCATGAAAAAAACTGATTTCATTCAATGTCAACTACATATACTGTACATATCCCCAGCAGAAGACTTTTTTTTAAAATCATACCTTGGCTCCCTCACATGTAGCTTATGGGTGCAAAGCATCACATTGAAATAAGAAAATTTAGCTCTGTTAAGGGTTTAATACAAGTACATGTAAGTGTACGCCAATTTCATACTTTTCTTCACAGATCCGTGGCAACATATTTACACTTCACCTAAAGTTCAAAGAAATCATGCGTTATTTGATAACACACTGAATAAACTGTTATAACACAACTACAGTACAATTGTTTGCTCTATAGTACAAACTCACGACAAAGTACATGTACATGCACACATACATGTACCAGATCTGAACCACACCTCCATACATATACAAACATACAGTACATGTTATGTACAAGTCTGGATCTATGAAAAGAAATATCAGATTTCGAGAATCTGATGTACATGTACTGATACTGAAAGCTTGTATGTTACTGGCTGGATGAAATGCCTCAGTAACTGGAGCTGGCTAGAGAAATGCAAACAGGCCCTGCGTGGTTGCAGACGATTGTCAAGCAAAATGCTGCCTCCTGTTTTTAAAAACGCGCAATTTGTATTTCTACCCTTCGATCAATCGCTGCACTGGCATTGAACCAAAACTGTAAGGCGGGCAACTGTAATGAACAGAGACTCCTGCGCCAATTTTTTTTTTTACAAGGTGAAATCAGACGGGCCGGTGAAGTACATGTACCGGTACATGTAAATTTCACAAAGTACATGTATGAAGGGCCCAACGTTTTGATCCTGGCAGAATCTTTATCAAAGGCAAAACGAGAAAGCCAACGAGAAAGCCGTCGAGAAAGATTCTGCTTGGATGAAAGCGTCAGGCCCTCCTTATTTTGCGATTTGTATTTTTGGTTACTGTAGTCAGCAAACAGTTTGCAGGACCTTCGTATGATATAGGCGCATTGAACAGTACATATTCCTTAACATTCCAGATACTGTGCATGATATGGGGCCGATGGGTACCCCCCCACATGTCCAATCCCTATACACACTCTAGACTATTGTTACCTGACACATCCCCCCTAGAAGTCTGTAAAGAATTCCTGAGATTCCAATCAAACAATGACCAACACAAAGGCAGGAGGGGTTCTCTCCATCCCATATCTTGCTTCAAATGACATTCCACAATCGATGCATTACCTGAGTAACCAGCTAGATACTCAGTACAGCCTCAGAGCCGAGCCAGCTTCAATACTGGTTCAAGTTTGTCACAGCCAATCCTTCAACAGCGTAGAACTTGGCTGACCTCCCCGTCAACGAGGATAGCATGTGCATCACCTGCTCCACATTGCTATGCAACGAGGCTCGCACAGTCAATAGACGTACCGATGTGAATTTAGAAAACAGCAAGCAGGGCCTAAGGTTATCACTGCGTGTTGGAATATGAGATAAAGATTTCCGCAGTGGGTATGTCCAAGTACACCGACGTTCAACCTGTTCAAAGAGTTCTCCAGACGGTTCTTCACACGCTGAGGCTGAACCCGAGAACTTGACATGTGGGTGTAACAATGCAGTGTGTAACATACATGTACATGTGGTGTTCACCATCCCCATAAGTATAATAAATTATAGTCCATGGAAAACCTGAATGCCAAATTCTGATCTGTTTAGTGCGTGTACAATGTCCATGTGGAATCACGATGTACATGTTAACGCACGTGACGAAGCACACTATTTCCATACTTGCAGGGACAATACACATGTGCAGTGAGCTCATCACTGACATTGTGGCCGGGGGACCCAAAAAAAACGTGGGGGAAAAAATGTCCCCACAAATTTAGTCCTCAGTTGCCCCGAGAAAAACTTCCCAGTAATGCGGTGGAGGCCTGCCCACCAATCCAGACGAGGGGCAAAACTTGAAATGATTGTGTATCGTAATGTAGATCAAGTAATAATAAAAAAAAAGACTTATAAGGCATTTTCACAAGTTACAATGCGCGGCAAGGACAACTCCAGAAAAAAAAAGTTACCATGAGCTGATGTGAGGAGAACAGTTTCTAGTCTACCCCTAAATTTGTCTAAGGAACTGATGTTGTGGATGTTGCATGTGGATGTAGATCGCATATCTTAACCCTAACCTCCTAGGCCTTTTTACTAGGAGGAACCATTCTGAATCCTCCGAAATCCTCCAATTTTCAACATGAAAAAAATTGCACTCAGCCCAAATCCTCCGAAATTTGACAACATTTCTTGAAAATGTCATTTGGAGGTGTGCGTAACTGCCCGAATCCTTCAAAATTCTCCGGCAATTCCTGTCATTATGTTGAGGCAGTGCGAATGGCACTCTTGAGCTGTGCAGTTGATTCAAAAGAAATATCGGGCTGCATTTGTGTTTGACTAGGCACATATAACAGAAGGTCTAATCCACGACCTTCACATATGGCATCCTTTGAAATCAGCCTTGAACTTTTGCCACACACTCTGAATCCTCTAGATTCCTCCACTTTGCAGAAAAGGATTTTGGAGGATTTAGGAGGGTTAGGGTTAATGGACAAACAGTCACACATGCGATATACAGTTTGAGCAACTCGACCGTGCACTTTGTTCATGTAGAGAAGTGCAGTTAACTGGTTCCATATGTCTGACGTCCGACTGCAATTTTGCCCTCCACGTCGACGTGTAGGGATGTCCACAAACACGTGTGGACGGTTCAAATCATAAACAGAAAGAAATCTACGTAATGTACATAAATGTACATGTACACTGTACACCTGTACACTGTGCAACTGCAGTACCGGTACATGTAACGTGTACGCATACATGTACATGTCCATATCAATTAGGAAGGTTACTCAAATAGTTTGCGGACCGGGTGTTGAAAATACATGGCTCAAGTGAAATTTGACCCCCCCCAGCCTTTTTACCCAAAAGAAGTCTGCACCTGCTGAAATGGCTTCTTAAAGTTCTAAATTAATTAAAACTACCAACTAGTGGATTCAAATAGTGCACATCTCACAACTCTGTCTGAACACTGTGGCAACTTACTCACACAAATGTACTTTGGACAAGGTTTTTTTTTTGGCATAGGAATATTGGAACAATTTAAGCTTAATAGAAGTGGAGCAAATTGGGGGAGGGAATGCTTATACCATACTTCAACTTGGTATTTGGACAATGAGTCAAACACTGTCCAATCACTTCTCGGGAAGCTAGGGTAAAGATTACATTTCTATGGTAAACACTATGCATCTAGAGATCTGTGCACAGCGTAGGAATTAAGGAAATGATCAACTTTTTGACAGGACATAATGTACATGTACTATTGTACTTGTACATATAACTATACGCACCACATGAGAACACGCTCTCACTGTTTGAATTTCATCATCACCAAAAAAAAAAAACTGAGTGAACTTCCAACAGGATCTGGCTTTGGGGGGTCTTTGACCACATCTCCTTTTGGTCATACATGTACAAAACACCAGAGGTTGTCTGAAAGTTAATGGACGACGGCCGACCGTAACGTCACACTCTGTCTGTGTGAGCGCTCGCAGATCGAGTGCTGAGACAATTGTCTATTTCTGTGACTGACATGTACAAAGTTGAGTCCAAACAAAGATTGTTTTAGACGGAGTGCTCCATGCATATTTGGCATTTACAGTCGGACCAGCTCATGATTCAGAGCGTGTGAGCTTCGCCACAGGTCAAGGAAAGCCAGTCCATTACTCTGTGGCAATAAATCCTTGCTGGTGGTAACAGGGTTATGACATATACCATACAGGGCCATGAGCTGAAATGTAACTGTACATGTACATGTGCCCATACAATACAAACCAAGAAATTGTCCTTGTCCGAAATAGGTGTCATTGTTTGTGGAGCATGTAACCTTGGTGGTTATGGTATTGTAGGTAGGCCTACCGTACATGCACATGTACAGTTGTAGAGCGGTAATTCCTGAAATTTGAGGTCCCTTTTTTGTGTGTCCCTGTCACATCTGACACGATTTTGTAAGTTCTGAACACATTTTCTGGTTTCCAAGAGTGATGAATTTGTGCAAATTAATGCCCCTGCCAAACAAATAGTAATAGTTTGAAATCAATTCCGGTGATAATTCCATGTCAAATAACAAAAGCCAGATGTAACAGGGGCATGAAAATGTCACACTTTTGGACCCCTGATTTCTGGAATTACCCACACTGCAGTGAATGATTTGCACAATTCGCACAATTGACAACAAAATTGATCAGAAGTTACTCGACCCCTTCTCAGTTCTGATTCTTATTCTAAGTTTCTGAACGGAAAGGTTCCCTACTCCTGACAAATATTCCACCCAAAAATAAAGCATATCTGTTCAAACACTGAAAAGAGTACAAGTTGGTGATTTCTGAATATTGAGACCTCCAAAGTCCATGGCTCTACACAAACTGGACTTGTATAGGGCACCAGTGATAGCGGTACTTCTTTGGGGGAGGTGGCCAGAGCACAGACCCCTACAAAGTGGATACCATGCCCGTAACAATGGCTGAGGTGACATTTCCAGCAAATTTGACATTGGAAAAAGTTAAAGCCTCTTCGGTGGTAAGTCAAATCTGTACGCATGCATGTACACGTATCAGCAAATTTACAGCGTTAGATTGCCAAGTCAAAAATTAAAAGCCAACAATCAAGAAAAATTCCAGTCCAGAAAAACATTCCAAAGTATATCCGTGACAATTTTGGTTCCAAAACGGCCAGACAAAATGAAATTGAGAATAAAGGACCTGATTCACGACTTCCTCTGACCTCCTCGAAAAGCCACCGGCACCGAACAATCGGTGTTTACATCAAACATCCATGTAGAGGACAGGATTGTTCTTGACCGCGCGAGTGTAAAATGGAAGGAAATCACGGCAAGCCAACTGTACAGCCTCGAAATTTTTCAACCTTAAAGGGTAAAAGAAATTGAAATAAATTTTTGTATACAAATGTGTGAGTATGTTTATCCATACATGTCTGAACGGACAGAAAACTTATTCGTTATGTTCCACGGATGCAGACTGTCCACACTACCATGCCGGGACATGTACTGTAAATGACCAGTCAAACCTCGTTAATAAAAGCACTATTAATGTACAACATTTTGCTTATCATAAGGGAATATGTACACCTTCCAATCCTTCATTTTTCACCGTTTTTATCATTGAGAGTACGCGGTTCTTGTTATTACAAGGTAATTTCCAAAGTAGCTCTTATTAATTTAATTTCGACAAAGTTGTTCTATCGGTCAAAATTAGCCAAGTGACCCCTGTCTAGACTTGACTCAAGTCGGGATCTCTGTGACATCTTCGTTTCTGCTTTGGATACGTATTGAGACCTCGCCCCGTTACTTGCTTCACGCCCTCTTGTGTCCACTTATGACCATGAGTTCAGTTCAGAAATCCCAACTTGATGAATCTGCCAACTGTTAGTACACAGTACATTTCTTATTTGGACCATCTCTCTGTACACCAGCTGAATTTCAAAATGCGGCGGTTATTTCTGACAATGAGCTTGCCAATCACACCTAAAGACACTCCCAGAGTTGTCGGATCTCAGAAAAGAAAAAAAAATGATCTGCAAGTGACTCATCCACCGGACGGCAATACACAGGTTTCCTGTTGGGCTGTTTACATTCTACGTCGATCATGCATCCAATTTCAACAAACAAAGTTCAGCAAGTTAAATACAATCTTTGACTTGAGAGTTTCTGATGTACCGTGCTGGTGAGCCTAACCACAGAGGGAGTTTAAATGACCTGAAGCAGTTCAGTACACGCTGGTATTTATAACAACACTCAGTGGTATTAAAATCACATGTTTGAAATCAGTCACATCAAACAACAGCGACGGCAATATTGATCTCCCTTTAGCCGATGTCGCAAATGCTGTTTTGCCAACCAGCAGCTGTGAATGCAAAACCAAATGAATGATTTGTGGCATGGCATTAAAAAAAAATCTCACTTTAATATAAAAATACAATATAATGAATATTAAACACTTCAAAAAGAGACTGAGAGAAAATTGCCCATAGCCCGTATGAACAAGGAGGAAGGAAATGAAATTCATGAAAAAACGTCGCCGAGGTTTTGGTTAGTGATGGGAAAGTACAGTACATGTAATACACATGTAGTTTTACCATCACTATACATGTATCCCAATGCTTGAACAGTTTCATTTTTTGAATACAGTAGGCCTAAATGGGTAATTCCAGAAATCAGGGGTCCAAAAGTGTGACATTTTCGTGTCCCTGTTACATCTGACTTTTGTTATTTGACATGGAATTATCACCGGAATTGATCTCAGACTATTACTACATGAACTTGTTGGCCAGATACCGGGAAGTTGCATTAATTCATCACTCTTGGAAATTAGAAAATGTGTTAGAACTGAACTTCTCAAATCGTATGTCAGATGAAACAGGGGCACCAAAAAAAATGGACCCCTACTTTCTGGAATTACCTACATGTACCTGATGAGTTACCGGTAGATAACAAGTGAAACAAAGTGAAGTCATTACCACTAAATAAACATGCAATCACACGCCACTGGCTGTAAACAAATGGGAGGTAGAAGTGTGGAAAAGATGTGCAGTACATGTACATGCAACTCCGACTTTTAAAATCGCCAACATTCACTTCTTATTGGAGGGCAGTCCTGGTTGACAGTCATTCAGAACCTTGATTTTAACACTGACCAAACGTCAGTTGGGAACTTCCGTCACTTCCGCGGCTAGGCTACACCTGTGTCGCACAGCATGCATCACAAACATAAAAACTGCTTTGCTGGGAATTCAGTTTGGCAAGCCCAAAATGGCCAGAACAAAATCTACCTATCAGTTTTGACATTAAAATGGATATTGAGTTTTGGTAATTTCCGAGCAGAAATCACTCTACGGTTTCCCTTCAGTTTACACGCATGGCTCCCACGCTGGTGCTCGTAAAGATCAGGTTGTACACAGCTCAAAACTTGGCAAAAATGGAAAAACCATCACTTCATCAGAGTCAGGGTGCACGTGACAATAACTTACGCATGAAATGGGCCAGTTAGCTGCATTTTGTATCAATTACAGATGCCGGTACGAGCACATGTGCACGCCGGAGACTGGCGACCTGGGAAAATCATTCACTTCCACTTAGTACCATTATACTGAAACTCTACATGACTCCGGGAACCCTCAAGGTCATGGGTAATGCTATTTTGATAGGGTAACAACAGGGTTACTCCATTTCTTTTGCCTTTTTACATCGATGCATGTACATGTATCCTGAAGGTTTGTGTAACAGTTGCAAAATCTAATAATTGACACACATTTGAGCACGTAATTTCTGTGCGTGTGTTATCAAATCCCCTCTGACCCACTGCTGACAACTGCAATAAAACAAGGGTAGAGGCACTTTGGCTCAACAGTATTTGGACCACACTAAAAAAAAAGTTCTGCTTCCTATTCCCAGTGCATGGTATATGGTATATAAAACATAGGAGGTACCGTTGGTAAAAAGGAAACTTTTCTTTCTTTCTTTTTGACTTTTCTAAGCTGCTTCAGTGTATGTACAGCTAAGTGTCAATTGGTCAAAAGTCAAAAATCGGTAAGAGGAGACGGGTGGAATTTGTTTTAAAATGAAATGGACGACCCCCTGAAGGGAATTCGTTGCATACACACATGTACATAACTGGTGAAACCTTTTGCACCCCATTCAAACTACAATTATGGACAGGCATGCATGTACCGTGCATATGGCTGATTCCAGAAATTATTTTTTTTTTTCATGTCAAATCTGACATATGATTTTGTAGGTTCAGAACACATTTTTCTTATTTCTAAGAGAGATGAATTAATGCAAATTACCTGCCAAACAAATAGTAATAGTTGGAAATCAATTCCGGTGATATTTCCATGTCAAATAACAAAGGTCAGATGTAACAGGGACACAAAGATGTCACACTTTTGGACCTCTAACTTCTGGAATTACCCATGTACATGAATGTATTTTTCTCTTTTTATTTCCAAATCCACACTTTCCCCAGGGTGTGAAATTTAAGCCAAAAACATGATGAGTACAGAGGTAGAAATTTGCATGAGGAAGTGGAACAAGACCTGTTCTGATACTGAAGGAACCCTTGGAAGTGATACGAGCTGTCATACCATGATACTTATGGAAAAAAAATAACACAAGAGAAGTTGAACAACATTAACAGGAAATCCTAGCTAACAATATTTGTCGTACTGGCAATGTTTGCCATGCCAGAAACCACAGTGATTGTACAAGCCAAAAGATCCCAGATACACTCTGGGAGCTTGCTGACTCAGCGGAAAAAAATTACTGCATCCTGTCGTCACTCATTCCATGTTGAGAAAAAACTTTGGGCAACGACACATTTCCCTTTTTTATAACAAAATATCGATCCCCCCAAAACTATGCACAGACATATATGACAAATCTTATGTACTTTATTATGGCAAATACAGTACAGTACATACATACATGCAATGCTTGAACATTGTTGAGTGATTTTGCACAACGGCCCAAAACAATACGGCCAATTCATAATAGCGCACCACCAAGAGTTTACATCACTTTGGCCAATCATAAGGTGCAAAATTTGTCGACCCTTTCCAAACGCACATTGGGTCGATAAATTTTGCGCATTGTTTATGAACACATGAGTTTCCTGACAAGTGATCCTAGCCTACTCCCAGTGGTCAGCACACAATACCAGGCTGGAGATATTCACACTAAAAACTGTACATTTAACCACAACACATGCCCAACATCTCGAAATGCCCCAGCTAAGCAGCTACGTACTAAAACTTTAAAGTGCCGTCATTACCCCCAAAACTGTGGGGTCCGACATCCGCCCCACTCCCATGAACCCCACAGAAAAACAACTTTTTTTGCCATTGGCCTACATGTTCATGGGAGCGGGGTGGACGTCGGACCCCACGGTCATGACTGTTCTAAGGCTATGAAATCGTGTGTCCGGAAAGTGGGCAAGCCATGCAACAGCCCAAGCACGACGACACTAAAATAGGCTACGCAGTCAGTCACGTTAATCTACCTACCTATTTTTCTTCACAGTGTTGATTATATTCACTTTTGCCAACTCGTTTGTTCCGATACAAATTGCACTGGCTATTTCACGTAATAGGCCTACCACTTCTCTGTGTCAAGGTAGAATTCGTCACGAATTGTTCCTTGTGAGGTACTTTTGGTCACTTCAAAATGTAGTTAATCCGGACGCGTTACATTCTCTGCCCACTCAATTTTCTGACTCACAAAACCAAGTTAAGTTTCAATGGAGTAGCGCCACTTCCGGTATGCGTGGTTATACCATAAACTTGTATCAGTCCCTAAAATAAATCCCATTCCTTTTGTATAACGAGACCGGAAAAATGTTTCGAGTATTAAGTGCATTTGACAAGTTTACAAACCGGTAGCTGATAGGGGGCGGTATATAAGTTTTAAGCATAAGGGTGCAGTGTTCCAATTCAAGGAAAATTCTCCGCCAGGCAGAGGCGCACAGAAAGTACCCCTATTAGATTCTTTCAAAAAGAGGGGTCTGTTTGAGCTAAGAAATAGTTGGATTGTGTTAGTATGGCCGAGAATCATCTTCGTAGATTAAGGGCACCCATTTGGGGGCAATGCAGACAAAAATGTGATTGAAAATTTGTCAGAAGAGCCTCGAAAAGGTGAGGGATGCCATTTGAAAAATGGCCGCTGAGAAGACTTGGGAACATTCACTTTTTGGGGGAGGGGGTGAGTTTGTTTTTGGCAGATAATTAAAAAATTCATTGGTTAACCTAATAAAAATTGAAAATCAAATGAATTCTAAAGGACCAAACAATACGTTGTTTTTTTGTTTGAGAAGCCTCAGGAACCTCAGTTTGCCTGCCATGGGGCTCCAAACTTGGTTGATTCTACACTATTTTCAATGGAGCTTGAATTGGTTCAGTGCACCCATAAGGGTGCAGACCACAGACTTATCCACATGTCTATTGGTGCAGACCAGTAAGTCAGTTGCCATAGACAGCAGTGATGAATATCCCCACTTTAAAAAATCAGGAAAAATACTCACAAGTTTCAAAGGTGTACAAGACACATATCAAACTAAAGCTCACTTCCTCATGTTCCATTTTCCCTTCAATTTCCCGTGGCTTTACCGATGACTTTTGAAGATATTTCTCTCCAGAGAAAATCACCCCTAAAAACAGTCAGGAGGCCCATCGCCATTTTGGAAATTGATGCCTACACTCCATGGCAAAATAGAGCAATTGAGGGGCCCCGGCCTTTGGTCCGATACTTTCAGAAATTCTTTCAGAAATACCAGCTGACAGTCCTGCCCCTGCATTTCATCCACCTTTTTAACAAATCACCCGGTCCACGTGCCACGAAAGGCGCTAATACAGAGAATTTGGCAGCCTACAAACCGTGATTTGGTCCGCGCAGGCAATTTTGGACCTATTTACTAGCCCGCAACCATAACGGGGATCGAGCTGGAATCTGAGTCTCTTTTCTGTTTTATTTCCATAGGTTAGCCTCGTCAGTTAAAAATGCTATTCTCACTGGGCCCTGTAAACAAAATTAATATGGTAAAACTGGAAGGGTTCTTGATAAGGGCAGCTTATTTGAAAAATTACCAAAAGGATTGAAGATTTAGGGGCGTGGCGGTGTCCTCTTTATTTGAATGATAGCCAAACACTCTTACATGTGGGCGGAGAGTTTCCAGAATGTACCTTGGGGGATCCAGAAGATGGCTGGTAAAAGGAGAATTCTAAAGAAATTTTATTTAAATTATGGGTTATTCCACTCAGACGGGCAAAGTGTTCCTGGTCCATCTGGTTCCAGCCTCTTCGCATCGAGTGACGAAACAACACGAACAGCCCTTGAGTGAACAAAGGGCTTATAAGGGAACAGCTGTTGAGCGTTTCAGTAGTTACTGACATCTGTGGATATGAAAACATCGTTTGTTCTGCCACATGGAATAATTATTTCCCGCACTAATGAACATACACGCCACTTTTAGCAGGTCGATTAAACCGTTTCCCTTTCCCATTTCACAGTTAATTCGTCGATAATTTTGCCACTTTGACAAAATTGAAGGCGCCCACCACGTGCGCACGCACGCAAAACGACGAACCTGCAGTGGGTTTATGTTAATAACCATCGATTGTTGCAGTACGAGTGAATGAGGAAAGCTCTGTGCAATCATATAATTGTGGTCGTTTGATACAGAATTTGCAACCAGTTATCGCTACTAAGGAACCCCAAACTGTCTTCGGGCATTTTGGTCTCCGTTGGCAGAAGTTGCGGAGTGATAAATGAATTGTTGGCTCTAAAGTAGAATTAATACACCAGTACCACTTGGTGGTCTCATCCTAGATAACTTCGCTTATACCAACGCTAAACAGACTGCGCCATGACCCGCCGCCATAAAATTTTTCTACTCTGCATAGCGCTGTTTGCAGCGGTGTGGATTTTTGTGCTCGTAGCCAACCAAAAACCTGGAAAATGGCGTTCCTTCAACCTGCTGTGGAATAAGAGGAGTCCTCCTGAAGGTCACTCGAATACCGGCATGCGTAGTGTAGTAGGAATTGCTCGGGGTAGTCAGACGAAATTGAAGTCTTTACCAATTTCTGACCGCTCGTCTAACGTCTCCAGACAGTTGCCAACGCCCGTGCTGCTCTTTGCTAGCATGCGCACCGGCTCCTCCTTCGTGGGTGAACTACTTGGGAACAGTCGGGATGTGTTCTACCTCTTCGAGCCGGGACACGCCATGCAGACCACCTTGCTGAAAATGCAGGGCCTGCAGTTCACCTACGACGTGCCGGGGTTGTGTATCAACCTGATGACCAAGCTGTTCCGGTGCGACTTCCGCGGCCTCGATTTCTACCTGGAGTATCTGTCTCAAGAGCCCCTAGAGGTCCTACAGCGCAGGACGCCCAGGTTGTACGATGCGTGCGTCCAGAACGGATCCAGCAATGCGACGAACTGTGTCGTCACGAGTCTCATGGCAACTGAGAGCTGCCAGCGGAGCAAATTCGTCGTCATCAAGGAGATCCGGGTCCCAGATATGACGACACTGCTGCCCCTGATCAAGGACCACGTCCTCGATCTGAAGGTGATCCATTTGGTGAGGGACCCTCGACCAGTGACGGCTTCACGCGTGCTCGCCCTGACCAATAAGACTCTCACTTCATCCAATCAGACCTTCGGAAACTTTTCCAAAGACTATCGGGATTTTCTGTCCGATTACTGTACGGAAAGCGCGGCGAACGCCAAGCTAGGACGGCAGAGTCCGAATTGGAAGGGACGGTACATGCTCCTGAGGTATGAGGACGTGGCGTCAGATCCAACGTCGGCCGCTGAGCGAATTTACCAATTTCTCGGTGACACCCTTGTCCCCAAGACGGTTCGGTACTGGATCGCGACGAACACCAACGTAGATGTGGCCAACCGTTTCTCCACTAAGCGGAATTCCAGCCAGGTGTACCAGGCCTGGCGGCGAACCATGCCATTTGGCGTGGCCAAGGCAATTGAGGGAGCGAGACGCTGTCGGGAGATGATGGAAATGATGGGTTACCGCCTGCTGGAAGACGAAAAACATCAGAGAAACCTGTCCCGGCCACTTTATTAACTTTCGTGCTAGCAGCCGCGGAGTGGTTTGTTTGCGGGGCGAAAAAAACCACAAATTCGTTGTGACGTCACCACAAAATATTCACGCTGCTAAGTCAAACTGACAACACACAAGAGCATGGCCTTTTGGAAGAGTTTGCATCAGATGGTTCGTGTCTTAAATTTCACCCTCACTCGTGGTCGTTCGTCATCACGTCAAGTATATGTTATGTTTGGAATTTTCGGACTCATGAGATCTGGTCTCTATACCGTATTTTTGTCCCTCTGCGGTGATCACTTTTTGAATTGTCTGTTTTCGTCCACTGCGGGGAATGCGCATCACGGCGTCCGAAGTTAATGTTATGGCTCTCATTTCCGACAGACCCTTTTGGGGGGCATCCACAGAGGAAACACATGATGCTGCAAACCCTGTCTGGAGTTTCTTACCAAGAACAAACGCGATGATCTTAAGAATTTAACTCTCATAACCGAACTAATACATGCAATAAAAATAATACTTCTTTTTAAAACAGAGTGTCGTTTAAAAATCCTTAAGAGCGCTTTACAATTAAAACGAAAAAACTATGATTTCAGTTTGAACCTAATAGAATTAAACTATATATTAGAACAGGCCAGCCGCAGAATCACTCAATTCAATAAAAATAGGTTTAAATGTTACAATACTAGGAATTCTTCAAAAGTTACTTTGTAAATAATATAGGGAAAATATAATTTCACCATTAATTAAGTATAAACACACATAATTAAAATTATACAGAAAGTGGATAAAACGATTGGATTACGAGGAAACAGATAAATGTTGGGAACCACATAATTAACTTCAGCGGCCTTTAACGTCAAAGAGCCTGGTAAAGAGCCTACTCTACACTGGCCTTCATTGAGAATATCTCCAAGGAATCAGGAAAATTGCAATTTACTGGAGGTTGTATGTTGCGAGCTACATGATCGAATTAATTTTCCCTCTTCTGATTTTGTATTTTAAGCTTTCATAAATTCAATTGTTTACTCCAAACATCAATTCGATCCACAGATGACAACAGTGAATGTAACGACCACAGCTGTAATCGGCAGCTATTGTCGAAAAACAATCGTAACTACGTCCGTGTAACGAATAAAATATTGATTTTCTTTCAGTGTAGAAGCCCTTATTTTGGGGGTATACAGACGGGTTACGGTGAACCTGTCCGCCATTGGTTCCCCTACATGGGCGGTTCCGAGGATTTGGACCTTCGTTTCTGGATCGGGATGATTACTCTGAAAAAGCTCTGATTGGGCATTACTCGGAACGGAACTAGGCATAGGGGGTTGTTCATCCCAGCTGTAGATGATTTTGCAGTGCTATTTTGAAGCTAGATATAACTTCTCGATAGAAGTCATGTGTTTTGGCAGCTTATTCCAATCTCTTGCCATCTTAAGAATCCATCTTAATGAATGAAGATGGGATAGTGACACAGACTGTCTTGCAGGTCCTAGTGTTCATTCGTGTGCGACCTAATGGAGGTTCTTGCAAGTTAAGGAAATCTCTTATGTCCAGGTCAATACTGTGATGAATAATTTTCGAACTCACTTGCAGATGCTTTGGTTACCCACACGTCTAAATAAGCTTTTTTTGGGGTAACATTCGGATGCCAAATTTCGGGTTCAAAAAATGGGATATGGCACGGAATGCCCAAACGCACGAAAGTAGTAAGCAGTTTCCGCAATAAATGCCTTTATCCGCCCGGAGCAGAAGCACCCCCTCAACGGTTGAAAAGAGCTATATTGGTCGGGAGTGAGCGTTCATTTTGTTGATATCATGGCAACGGCAACGCGTGAATTCCAGGGTCGTTCGTGAACAAGCGAAGTTCAGTTCTGACCAAAGGAACCTCCGTTGCTAAGAAAATTGCGCCCTCTCTTGGTCCAGCTCGAGGCTCATTAGTAGCCTAGTTTATCCTGTTTGCATGAACAAAAACATTCCCCGCCAACATGGCTCTTCTTAACCGATGAGGGGGTGCTCCTGCTCAAAGCGGATAGGACATGGCTTTCCGGTGTAATTGATTGATTAATTGCTATTTATATACATACGTATACCATAGAAATTGCCTCGGCTCTCGTGCATTAAAATACAATTAGTACTTAAAGTTAAGAAATACATTTTTATAACAATAAACTATATAACGGTTTTGCCCGTACCCAACGTATGTTAATAAGCACTGTATGCTCATCTTGAAAACAATAAAATAATTAAGCAATAAAAAGAATTATTTTCAGTAGCACTCAAAACTAACAAAGTGACAAATTACTTGGTTTCATTCGTAATGTCTCGGAATTAAAATGATACAGTGTATTATGAAAGCCTACAAGCACAAGTCTGCAATGAAGTGGCTGGAACTACAGTGAATGTCACGGCTTAGAAAAAGTGTCATTAACTTCGTAGCTTTTCTTGTCTTGGACTTTGTAAGGACCCATTTTGCCAGCAGATTAATGCAGTCAGAAAAAAAGACCAAAAACAATTTTGGCCGTTTGTTGTACCCTGACTCGTACACATTTTTGTTTCAGTCATATCAAGATAAAATAGCTAAGGGTATTTTTTTATGAAGATAAAAACGGTTTAAATCGTAAAACTAGGTTACAATACTGTGGCGTTTAAGGACCGCAATAAAAAGTGATAGAAATGTTTTGTTTTCGTTCGCCTTTGTTCATTTTATGTGGTACACATGTGAAGTTAAAGACCAGTTTTCGAGTAGGCCTATGTCCATGGATGCTTCACCGATATTTGCTTTGGTGTTTAATTCTGTGTCTCGTGATGACAATAAGTCTAATACAGCTCAGACGTGCATGTTCGGACAATAAGGACATTCTAAGTTGTGGCTTCGAGAGTCACTTTCCTGAAGCGTTTTTTTTCTACGTGATCATCTCAGTTGCCACGGAGTCTCCATTAGGTAGGCTATGCCAGATATACGGCTCAGCTTACCAGTAATGGTGAACGTACAAGTTCATGTCCGCAAGTAAGCTGTGAAACACGATTTTCGTATTATCCATCCACAAGGCTAGGCGTTTGCTGTCTTGCCCGTGATTCCCGTTACTCAGTAGTTTGAGGCCGTCCGTACATGCCTTGTAGATGAGGTAGTCGTTTTTCTTGTAGTTGTAGCGGTCCTCTATAACGCATCTGTTGCCGTGGAAACGAAAGACTGCCTTCAAGAATCCGAGTTTGGTCATGTAGTGCGCATGCACTGAGCCATTGCGCGCGTTGAGGTACATCCCGTCGTGGGTCCATCCTGGAAGGTCACGCACGAGCAAACCGCCATTAGCGAAGCAGTTGTCGATCCACGGCGTGCTTGAACGTTCAACAAATGCCTCGACGGGGAGGGAGAACTTGGAATCCCCGGACTTGGCACTGCGAATCACTAACATGCTGGGGCCCGGTCCGGCGTGGTGCAGGCTCGCCACGATGCCCCGACCGAGCTTCAAGGACTGGAGGCGCCCAGAGCTGGCGCCGTGGCCGGTGGACGCGTGCACGCAACGGCCGCTCCCCGCGTCCCAGACGCGCAAGTGGCTATCACCGTAAACGGCAACCACAGTCTGGTCTCGGTAATCCACATCCCTGAGCTGGGCCCCGTCAGGGGAGGCGAGGATGTGTCGGCAGATTCCATCGCTGACGCCCCACACCCGAATCTCGTCGTCGCGCACCACTCGGCTGACCACCGTCTCACCGTCAAAGAAGATGCACTCGATGTCTGCCGTTTCTTTGTGCCCTTTCATCTGGGGGAGTTCCTGCCCGTCTTTAACACTGAATGCCCGGATCAAACCCCTCGCGCAGCCGACAACAACCATGTTCCGTTTAACTTTGAGCGTGTTTCCCTGTTTACTCAGGGCTACCTGGAAGACATGCGCACATGTACCTCTCTTGACGTCCCATACTTTGATGGTACCGTCCGAGAAGCTCAGAGCGAAAAAATCGCCATCCCCGTCAGCGTATCGCGTGTATAAACGTCCGCCCTGCCGTGCCTTTTGCGCAGGGCCGCCATCATCAAAAACCTTCAAAGTGGCGACATGGCAGCGGCTATTCTCCCAGTTTGACTCCAGATGCTGCGCTTTCAAGTAAACTTCCTTCCACTTACAAGTACGGGCAATGCCTGTCGGGTTGTCTTCTGCAATGATCGAGTCTATTTGGAAGGCTACATTCTCGTGCGGTCCGCTTCCACCTCCCGTTTGCCGCGGTTCGTACGGTTCCTCCTTGGTGATGTCTGCCTCGGCGCCGTAGTAGTGTTGCCAGCCGTTTCCGCGACACAGAGGGCGCCACAGGCAGTCCTGATTGACTACGCAGCGCCACCGACGACTGCAGACGGCTAGCCTGCACAGATCCGCTGGACCGAGGTACTGGAATATCGCCTCGAGTAATTCGTAAGGTAGATCCACTGGGTCATTGCCGGGGGCGTCGGCCATGTTGGTTGTACGAAGTCTTGGCCCTATCTCTCCGCACTTATCCAGGTTATAGCATAATATCCTGAATTCAGAAAAGATACAAAGTGTACACAAAATGATCGTGCAGCGAACTGTGCTGCAATGGGACATCGTGTTTCCAAGTGGTGCATCATTTTATTGAGCAGTAATACTCTTTTTAGGTGTTACAAGAAAAGATAAATAATAACAGAAAACTTACCTTATGTTGTCCAAGGTATGAAGTCAAAATGGAACGCTGTGTTAAACCGTGTCAAAGCAGACAGCCAGGCCGCTGGCTACAAATAAATTGTTCTGACTCGCGAAGTGTGGGGTATGTGACAATGATGCGATTCATCGTTGACGGTGCTGCCCTCATGCACTTCAGCCGGGCCCCCGAGTCTTTGTGGCGGCTGCCAGTAGCTTCGCTCTTGCATTTTGCACTGCATGTACATGACCATGTCATGCATAAAAGTAAATGATACGCGATCACAGTGCACCGTTTGCAATATAATCTAGGATGAACTCCACATCGAGCTTCGTCTCGAATAATTCATTGCTGCAGCTATCATGTAGCCATCTTCATGCAGTAGGCTAGGCATGGGCGCTGAGAGCGCGTGGGACGCCTATGCACAAACGGTAAAGCGATGAGCAAACTATACAAAAAAGACCGCTGGCATCAGTCATGCAAAGAGGTATAGAGTTGATTCACGAACAAAGAGCACATCCTGTTTATCTTCCCCGCCCGATAATTACAGCGGACAGCAACAAAGCAACTATAGCCCTAGTCACTTATACATGTGCATATACTATAGGCTGTTCTTTCCCAAGCATGAAGCCGGGAACCAACGGTCCACTGAGCACCCGGGGAAAGCATAAAGTGTGACGATATAATTACAGAGGCCTTCTACGTGTATAGAAACACTTAAAATATTGTCCATGCAGAGTACACCGTGAAAATGTTTGGATAATAGTGCTACTAGGTAGCATGCATGCAGGATTGATCACGATGCTGATACGTCTGTCTTGTTCCCTGTACACACATTGGCAGCAGTAATTCAACTCCACACAGAAGAGAACAGCCTATTTTCTTTTCCTTCCAGCCTCAGTTTGGTTACCTAAGGGTGCACCCTGGTAATTAGGCCAGAAATATGTCTGCCGATCGAGCTTATTAATAAAAGTTATAGACTCAAAATATTCTATATTAGAGAGTCCTGAGGGCCATGAAATTGAGGAATTAGAGAAATATGGCACTGAACCCCTGGCCCGGACTCTGGGCTTCAAATTCTGAGTAATTTGGATGCAGTTGGGTCCGAAAATGGCACTATTTGGCCATTTTGCAGAGGGATGGTTTTTCAAAATGGCTACTTTTCTGGGCAGGGACATTTTCTTCATTTTAGGGGTGGTCTGCTACTGGTG